AACCCACCATTTAGGTGGCTTGCCCCCCTCCTAGCCCCCCTATAAAAGTTTAAAACTCACCTTATTCCAACGCCTCGTGGGTCTGCATGTGCTGGCTCCACCCCCTTTGTGACATAATTAAAATGGCTGATTTTTAGCCAATCCGGTTAAAATCGGAACGAGGGTGGGGCCAAATGCCGTTTTGGCCAATCAGGACCCCCTCATAGAGATGCATTGAATCAATGCATCTTTATGAGGAAAATTCAGCATCTCTATGCAGAGAGTGGGGACGCTGAACGGCAGGGCTGCCTACTGTGCAGCCCTGAGCCAGGAAACCCCTCAAGTGGCCACTTGGAGGTGTCCCTAGAGGCAATGTAAACACTGCCTTTTATCTGAAAAGGCAGTGTTTACATGAAAATGCCTGAAGGGACCTATTATACTCATCAGAACAACTACATTAAGCTGCAGTTGTTCTGGTGACTATAGTGTCCAATTAAGGTACCAGTAGCCTATAAAACACATAAATTACATTGAAGCTTGTGTCCATCCAGTCTACTATCTAAACACTAACCTTATCTATGTGTAAAGGACAGTTTACACATAAATCTATAATGATTTAAGCCCATGTATTCCACAAATAGTATGGTATACCGATCAGTAATAAAATCAAACATTGTGTAAACCAAAATGGCAAGTCTATGGATAAAATTCCTTCATTCAGTTGTTAAGACATTATGTTGAGGCAAAAACTACAAATATGGTTGAAAAACAGCTGAACGTTCATTTGTTTCCTGCTGTAATACCGAATGCTGAAAGAAAAGTAATTGTGAGATGCTGCTCTAATGATTTGGGACCTGCAGCTTTTATTTTAGGCAAGTTTGTCTTACAAATCTGTAAATTTGCAGGCAATTTCAATACCAAGATGTGAAGGTTTCATTTGAATGCTATCTGAAGATGACACTGTTATCCACACATTTTATTGATGGCAGTCCTCTTTAAAAGTAATTGTTCGTGTGACAAGGGCATTCATAGCATTTAAATGCTAAACAATGCACTCCATTTTTTTAGTCGGGGAAAAAAACAAACACAGAGGGCTTTATTTATTGTGAAAACCATCTGTGTACAAATCGTGTTGTCGTTCTGCATTATGTTGCCTCTCTGAGCAAACCTTTAGAAAATGTTATAAAGTAAAAAAAAATAATAAAGCAAATCCCTGACTAAACAAATAAAAATATATAAAAGAAAAACATATATATATATATATATATATATATATATATTTATATATATATATATAATACAAAAATAAATAATTTTAAAAAAAGGCATGGATGGATGAACTCCTACCATTCTTTTCTACTGTATTACTGTATGTAAATATATATATATATATATATATATTTGTACAAATATTTTTAGGTTAAAATTTAAATTTTTTGATCCAACAGGGCTATTTACTAAATGAGGTTAATGAGGAATTCTAACAGAATTTTACAATTAAGCTGAATTGAAACAAAAAAATATCTGCGTCAGCTATTCTGGACTCAAATTTGAAATTCACTTTAAATTTACATTGAATTCGCAACAATTCTCACTTTACTGAGTAACTGCATGGGGGGGGGGGGGGGGGGGGGGGGGGCCCAAATTGTACTTTATAACTTTTATTAAAAAAAAATACTGATTTTTTTAAAATATATTTATTTGAGCTGGTGAGACTGGTGAGTTTCATAAAAGTAAAATAAATATAAAAAATAAAATGTTACAAATTAATTTTATTAAAATAATGTTTGTTTGTTTTTAACAGATGTATTTATGTTTCTGGTAACATCAGGTTCTAATACCAGAGAGAATAATCACAAACATAGGTTGATAAGAACACTTAACTAAAACCCAGAGATTAAAGGATGTTGTTCATACACAAACCTGGTTGGTTGCCACAAAATGTACTTGTCAACACCTGTGACACTCTTAGCTAGCTACACTCTCCTGCCATTATACAAGCCTACTACCTTGGACATACCTTCTTTAAATTCTTGGGGAGTTGAAAGCTATAATAATCAGTCAATGATCTTAGCATGTATAAGGCTCACATTTAATACAATAGGAAGGAGTGTGAAAATTTAATTTTGGATCTTTATTGAAAGAAATACAAACTAAAAATATTGTAAATATGTTTTGGTAAACTTTATGACATTCCTCATAGACCAGGTCAGGGGCGGCAGACAGGAGTGCATTCTAGTTCATTCTCCTGCCGTGGGGCCAAGTCGACATGATGATTTTATCAACCTCAGTAGAGGCCCTATTGGATCTCCCTCATTAGCCCTGATACTTCTGTTGCATCAGATTGTTGCTGTAGTTTACACATAGTGGGTGCAGACAGCAACATCTCCCACCGGACCACCAGGCATCAGGAATCACCCCACCCTCCTAAGTAAAGCCTCAGGGAGGCTATAGTAAGGTAGGTGAATTGAGGAAACTGACTTTGGTGCAGCAAAGAAGTAAATCCGGCTCTGCATACAGTTTCTTCAAGGATGGACAAGGCCCACCTAGACATTGCTTACTGCTAAGATATTGTAACACATGAATCAGATTGTTCTTATTAGGCCAAAATAGCACTTTAAAAGGATCAATAGACACTTACAATTACTATATACTATTCGAACTGATGAGATGCTGCAGAACATAGCAGTCTAATCTCATGACAGTGGAGCACTCTAATTCCATAACAGTGGGGCAATCTAATCCCATGTCAGTGGGGCAATTTAATCCCATGACAGTGGGGCAATTTAATCCCATGACAGTGGGGCAATCTATTCCCATGACAATGGGGCAATCTAATCCCATGACAGTGGGGCAATCTAATTCCACGATAGTGGGTGTAATGGTCTTAATCAGGTCAGATAAGAGACTTTGGCCAGAGTTAATGTTAGATTCTTTATTGGTGAGTTTGGACATAGTAAAATAGCAGGAAATCTTTTAAATGAGATTATAGGCGGAAGGAAAAAAGGAGAACCTATAAACAAAATTGTAGGCAAAGGTAGATAGACAGAACCTATAAATGAAATTATAGGTAAATAGGTAGAAGGTAAAATAATGGAAATAGAGGTTTAGACAATATGCCCCAGACAGGTTGTTACCCAGATATAATTAGATATTAGCAAACACCTATAGTTGAATGTATAGGGCATATAGAAAAACAAGTAAAATAGAACAGAACAATAAGGTTTCAGAATGTCAAGTAAACTAGACATTTAGGGAATCAGCCCCCTGTTTGGGAGGGAGTACTGAAAATACAGGTAAATAACATCTTTCAATATTAGTTAGTAGCAAAGTCCAGGTTGGCGTTATGTAGGTTGGTGTAGAGCAGGTTGGTTGTGTAAATCAGGTAGGTATAAAGCAGGTTGGTAAGATAAAGAAGGTTATTAGCGTGGTTCAGGTTGGCATGGAGCAGGTTTGTAATAAAGCTGCATTTTAGAGTAGTTGGCATAAAGTAGGTTGGTAACAAAAATTGGTAATGAAGAGCAGGTTGGAATAAATAAGCTTGGTAGAGTAGATATGGTTGGGTTTCAGCAGGATGATATCAAAGTAGGTATGGTTACAGGAGTCAGGAATAGAAGTCTTTCTGGTTGACCATAAATGTCAATTGTGGGGCAATCTAATCTCATGCCAGTGGGACAATCTAATCCCATGCCAGTGGGACAATCTAATCCCATGCCAGTGGGGCAATTTAATTCCATGACAGTGGGGCAGACTAATCCCACAATACCCCAGCTAAAGTGAGGTCCAACATTGCCAAGTAATTCCAATACAGAACATGAAGGCATACCCGATGGAACACAAGACGTGTCTGTCCAATCCATCAAAGGATTTGATTTCATTATTGTCTATATGTATGTGTAGTGCAACTCATTGAGAAGGGAGGAAGGCAGGTGTATGATAGCCCAGTGTGCCTACAACCTCTATTTGCTCTGTGGAGCTAACAGAAGCAGAAGAAAACCTTCCTGGATGCCTGATCGACAACTGGGGAGTCATTTCAGAAATCTTCTATAAAAGATTTCTATGGAAATCAAGAATTTTATAAACTGTCACAAATATGACAGACTCCAGACACACATAGCAGTTCAGCAATCTGAAGTGCTTAAAGTGTTTGGAGTGTATTTATGTAGATATGTAGAGGGAGAAAAAATAAAAATAGCCCATTAGGGACCAATCATGGTCTATTCCACCACACAATCTATATTGTACGAATACTGTTACAAAATCAATTGGTCCACTGAAAAGATAGCTGCATAGACTTGCCAATGCTTAAAGAGTTACTCTACTCTTAAGTTATTCAATTTAAATTGCCGTGTTGGGCATTTCTAATTAGCACCGGTTTCCGACCCCCCAATTTTAATCATACAAATGAATCTAAAACTTACCTGTAATCTTGCATCGGACAAATCTCTCGGTGTTCCTTTCTATGACTCATTTGATGTCACAGCCTCTCTTATGTATTCCAATCAAAAACTTTGGATCTTTTTGTACAGCTCTGAGCATATACGCATGCTCAGACTCGATGAGAGATGTACAATGGAGAGGGAAGGAATTTATTTTAAAGTTTTTTAAAAGATTAATTTGCACAAAACAGAGGGAGGCGGGAAGGGCTGGGGGGGAAGGTCAAGCTTCTCTTTATAGGCGCACTGTCTGCAAGGGAGAAGATGATCATGTTTGTTGCCAGCGCACTGTGCTCGTTGTTGACAAACATACAATTTGCACAGAACTGACAGAGTTCTGGTTCACCTAAGTCATGTATGGGATGTAACTAGCTCCCGGCACACACGTGCAGATGCAAATACTATGCAGAGTTTTAAGCAGAAACACTGCACATATAGGCTTCCCCCACCATGACCACTTCTAAAATTATAAGTGGTCATGGTGGTTGGGGTAACCCTTTAAAAGAACATTCTAGGCACCATACCCACTATACCCACATGATGTGCTAGTGTTACAATAACATTACACTTCAAGCTTTGTACCTGGTTCTTGGTCAAGAGGTTTGAGCAGTTTTACCAAAGCATTAGGTGCCTGAGGAACCCGCAGTCCAGCCGCAATACTAGAAATGCTAATTCAGAATTGCAGCATGCAAAGATCCATAACTTAATTTGGGTGGATGAACAGACATGTAGTTGTAACCAGACAAGCTGGACACACAGGGACAGAGGGGTTGAGGGCCCTGCTCAATGAGCTTACATGCTAGAGGGAGTGGGGTAAAGTGACATAAAAGGTAAGGATAGTATTAGACTAATGACAGTTGCAAAAGAGGAATCAGTCGGGACCTATTAACAGTTTAATTGATACGCTTTTATGAAGAAGTGGGTTTTTAACGATTTTTTGAAGGAGTGGAGACTGGGTGAGCATCTAACGGAGGAGGTAAGCGAGTTCCACAGGAATGGTGCAGCCCTTGAGAAATCTTGAAGGCGAGCATCAGAGGTGGGAGTACTGACAGAAGATAGACGTAAGTCTTCAGAAGATCGTAAGGGCCTAGACGGAACATACTTGTGTCTTAGGGAGGATAGATAGGTGGGAGCAGCATTATGTGGAGATTTGAAAGCAAGAACCAGATTTTTAAATTGAGCCCTATATCTTACAGGAAGCCAATGTATGGACTGACAGAAGGGTTTCATCACAGTTCAGTTTTTGTATTGTAATAAAATGAGAAAAAAATAAATTAGCATTTAAATTATATATTAGATAAATCCATTAAGAGCTGTTTATTCAGAACTGGCTCCTAACATATTTCTTACTCCATTAAGAACTATTGATTTTGAACTGGCTCCTAAAACACTTCTTATTTTCATGAATGCCAACACAAAATAATAACTGTAGAGCTAAAAACCTGAAATAATTTCAATCAATTTAACCACTAAATGAACATTGCTGTATGGGTATAATAAAAAAGAAAAACTCATCCCTAAAGACTAGTGATGAACCATTATGGCATTTATAATATCGTATCGCCATATGACTGCTACGAGCTCCAGGAAAACATGATATAATTACTTCAAGGCCAGAGCAGTTAGGATCAGTTCTCTCCGCAGTGATTGTAATGTATGTTATTAACCAAACTGTTGCCAACAATTATCTGATCTACACAACATATACCTCAATATACTTATAGATCCATACAACAGTCCAGAATTTAGAATTGTCTGGATATTTTGGCTGTCCATATTCTGCGATAAAGTTCTCTAAAAATGTAACATGCTCAAGCTGAGCAAGGCCAATGCAGTGTTGAAAGGTATTGTTTTGGATCAAATCAAGCATTTGATTATTTGTCTATCTACTCCTTTTTATATTGATTAATTGAGTGCACGCCTTCCTAGAAGTAATTCACACAGGAGACAAAATTTCTGATTAGTGAAAAACCTGAGGAATGGTTTATTCCATGGAGTGGGAGCCCCTTTTAAAGCAGAAATACGTCATGTACAGAGTCACAGTTAACATAAAGTATACATTCAACAATTGGTTAACAGTCTAAGGGGTCTTGTCTAAACCCACCCTACATGATGTAATGTCATCATTACAGAGCTCTCCCACCCACATTCCAGCTCCATCTTGATTACACGATGGGAGGGGGAGTGAGTAGTTACTGAACAAAGAGGGGGCTGAAGGGGAAACAGTTACTTTAACAGCGATTCTCCATTTTGTTACACATGGCAGAGAGCTGTTAGTTGCACAAAGGAAGTGGAGTTAGTAAAAGAAGCTGTTCTTTTAACACAGGAATTTGTTTAATGAGGCTTGCTCGATGGGAAGGGGGGAGGGTAGCCGGATGGGAGGAATTTACAGAGGAAATAGTTACTGAGCACACATGTACAGAGAAAAATAGACATTTTATCCATTCAAGTATTTTGTCCATAACAGTATAACAACTACCAGGGTTAGGCAACGTTTGGTACTCCAGACATTGTGGACTACATTCCCATAATGCTCATAAGGCTGGTAAAGTATTAGCGGAGATGTAAATCCAAATATCTGGAATGCCGAATGTTGCCCACCTCTGGACTAGACCATGGGACAATGCCACAGCAAATTCTTTATGTTATAGCTGTCTTAGGGGAAAGGATGAGGAATCTCTTTCTGTTATCTAAATTAAACCTATCACTCACGTACACAAGATCAGTTCGATAAATTATCCTCCTCACTCTCAGTCAACCTTATTCGTAGTAGTAGGTTATAGGACTTATAGTGAAGGGCTGTAATTTCCTAGTTTTGTAATAAACAGTTCTGTCATCTGGGATATGGCAGATTCCAACAGTGGAACCTATTAAGCTAGAGGACAGTAAAAGCTTCATTCTGGGAGCTTAATGAATACAAGATAAGTATGTTTGTTTTTTAATAAAACCATTGCAGATTTCTCAGAGTTATTGGATGACCTCTTCCTCATGGGTTTCCAAGAATATTGATGCAGAAATCCACAAGGCCTCCTGTCATGCTTTTATTGTTTATAGCTTGAGGCTGTGATTTGTAATTTATTTCTAATTATCTTGTTCAAATCACAGTTTGAGAAAAAAATACCCACATTAATTATGTAGTAAAGTTCAAAGATACGTGGTCTCTCGAGACTGAAGCATTGCCCTTCGATCTATGGACACATCCCAGCAGCTAAATAGTTAAACATTAATAAAATGAAGTTGGTGTAAGGCATGGCTATTTCAGAAAGGGGCAGAATCTATTGATTAAATTCTATGATTCCATTTACATACACAACCATTTATTTCTACAGCTGCCATACAAACAAATGAACAAAACGTTTCATTTACGGTGTCCAGCAAGGAAGCCTGGAGATCTGTCCATATACCATCCATCACATTTCTGTCTTAATTGCGTGACACCAGAATTAAATCAATAAATTGCAACAAGAGACAGTTTGCATTTCCACACTCACTTATCCTTCTTCTCTATTACTTGGTGTGACCAACGTGACAAGACAAAGTAAAAATAAAGAAGAAGGGGAGCAGAGAGTAGAACAACCGTCTGAACAAAGTTAGAGGGAATCGCTATTCAGGAATGAATCCAAGAAGGGCACTTACATTCCAGCTGCATCCTGTTACAGATGCCTTGATAGCTGCCACCATGGGAATATACATTTGCAAGGGATTCTGGGTAAGTTCCACTGATCTTAAAAAGACACTCTAGTCAAAAAGCATAGAAAATCAAGACAATCTTAGAATAATTTGTCTTTTTTTTGTTTGTTTATGTTCAAGTAAATGATTTAATAAAGGAGAAATACATTGTTTTCTCCTAACATTAAACTTTTGGTATTCTGGCATGTATATTTTTACTCACCCATAGAAAAGAATCTCATTCTTGATAGATGGGACGTCATCCGATTTTGACCACTTTAGAACTTTAACTAGAACATATTTTTAATGTGGGACACTGTATAGTGCTAGAGACTTGACAAGGTGCAAATGACTTTTTCCTTTACAGCTACTAAATCTCCACACTCGATTACTTTTTTAGACATTGGCAGTGCGTTTTAATAATCTAATTTATAAAGGTCATGACTCGTAAGTATAGACTATATCAGATATATTATGCTCAGAAATATTATTTTTAATATTTTGCCCCCAAATTATCCCTAACATTAGTAGTATCCTCTTAGCCATCTGTCATTATTGTTAAATGCCAAAGATAGAAGCATAAAAAAATTCCTCTAGACATGGTGGAATCATCTGATTTACCCTCATATTATCAAGATTGTGGTACAGATATGAATTGATACTATTCTCAGATATGTGAAATGTGGGGCTGAAGCAAGCACCTCAAAATGTATATCTCTTTATTTATGAAAAACATGTAGCAGTTAACATTTTGCCAGATGTACGATGTGGTAAATCACAGAAAAATTAATAATTTCTTAATTATTGGCCTACCGGAATTATTCAAGTGTCTAGTTCTCATTTCTACAATACTTCACTAAAATGTCTATTGAGTGAGCACATAGAATAAACATTCTACCAACTGATACTTATGCTATTTCACATATTTTCACATATTTAACACAAAACCACACTCCTGGAAGCCTACAAATATTGTTTTACAATAATCACAGCCTCTGCCATTTTGGGGAATTTGTTAATCATTGTGAATCATTACACATTTTTTGTGTCTTATGTTTGTGTAATTTTCCCTACCTTTTCCTATTAGGCCCCGGAAGAGTAGAGGCGGAACCTGACCCAGCATCGAGGGACATCGGCGCTGGAATAGGGTAAGTGACAGAAGTGTTTTTAAGGTGGGGCCTCGAAGGAGGGCATTGTAGGTCACAAAGTGCAGGGAAAACAACTTTGTTTTCCTAAAACTATAGTTTCCTTTTAACTTTGAATAAACCAAACAGTACAATAATATATTAAGAGCTTGTCAATTTTATCATAAAATCATTAATCATATAATGCCTCATGGCACCAAAGAGAAATGGGGGATGGGAGGGGATTTAGGAAAAAAGTTGATAAAAATATACAGTAAAATAGAAGCAGAAGTGAGAAAGAGGAAAACTAAAAATTTAAAGGAAGGAAGGGAATAGTAGAAAAGAGTTAGGATAATTATTATTTAAGGGAAGAAGGGAATTAATCATGGAAACCTGCAATTTGTAGTAAGGAGGATTGGGTGCAAAGATTGTTTAATGTAAGTTCTCTGGTATAAGAATGATATGTCAGATAGGCTTTAAGGATTTTTTTTCTTCCAAAAGTAACAGGAGTTTTCCATGCACCACCATGAAATGGGATGTACAATAGACAGCAAATAAACGTATATTGAATATATTGATGTATACAGCAACCTGGACCAACATATAAATGATTAGAACACTCTGAACTTTTCAATAAGAACAGTGACCGATACTCTTAATCCTAATGAAGCCTCTAACATTAGATGATTAATTTTACCTTACCTTAACTTTAAATCCCTTCTCTGACAGTAACGTATATACCTAAATGTTAGACATATGTCTTTATGCCCCATATTGTGCTAACAGAGCTGCCATACTGTACATGGGTAGTTCAACCATGATCTGCAGTAAGGTCAGTGATATGTCAAGCAGAAGAACAACCAGCAGGTACGATCTCTGGCATTTCGGTTAAATGTGGAAACAAGGAAAAGAGTAGGTAACCACGTCTTCCTCTTCCACAATGTGGATGTGAGGAAATGCTTCCTGCCTGAGTGACTATGTAAGTTGTGGTCAGACTAAATATGATAAAACTCGGCAAAGATTTAAGTAAATTCAAAAAATACTGGTGTGCATCATCTATATATCTGTAGGAGGACCTTGAGAAAAAAAATCTACTTTGGGCACAAT